TTTTTGAACTGTATATTTTTTTCAACACAAGGTGTTGTGAATATTATAAAAAGTATTATACATATTTTTCCTAAAATTTCAGAAATTATAAAATTGAAACTCATATTATATTGTATTGCATTATAATAGAGGTACTTAAAAAAGCAAACTACTTCCCTATGTATGTTTAAAGATAATTAAAGGACTGTGTGTTCAGTGCCCTCACAGTTGCATTCACCCTTGACCTCATGTAGAAAACGAACGCAGTCTCAAACAGGAGCACGTTCCAGATGGGAAATGGGAAAGCTGTGAGTTGGAGACCAACACGCTTATAGGAAAGGCGAGATCAGAAGACCAAAGCACATCCACCAACACAACAGAGGTGAGTAGACTGATGGTAAAGCACCTTTTTCTGATCAGCAAAGCTGGTTCTTTAATGAGCAATAACTCTTCAGCACTTGCTTTCAAGTGGAGCAGCATTTAATACACGGAGTTGTAGTTCACTGACAAGCTACGCAAAACTGTGTTCGAAATTGTAGATGATCTAATCAGATGATACTGAAATCAACATAATTGGTCTGTTATAATGACAGCGGTTTGTGCAGCTGTTGCAAATATGTCCCTGTGAAAATTACCTTGTATAATAACTTTTTTAATCCAAACTTGCTTCATGACTTTAGCCCAAAGTTTGAAAAAATAAATCCATGAAATGATGTGTGTTTATTAGTCACGGTAAATCAATGAAAGCAGTTTAATCTTGTTTATCCAGTAACTGCTTTCGGGAATTTTGGATTTTTTGTTTACACAACTGTGCATTCCTGACAAGATGTGCATGACAATTGAATCTTTGCATAGTCACTTTGGTGATTTAATTCTAATTAATTGCTATCTTCCTGTGGCAAATGTATAATTATTAATAAAATTAAAAGTTGGGATGGGTACCGAAACGCTGTACTTTATCGGTATTGGTGCTACATTATAAAAGACCATAGTATCGATAAGCTCTGGTGTTTACGGTTCTGCCATTGGTACTGGAGAATTATTGCTGAATAAACATTACTTACAGTAGCATAATTTAACTGACCAACCTTTTCTAATTTGCGATATTTAATATTCGTCTGCACAGTTGGCAATCTCACATGAGAAATGCTTGTGTTTCCAGCGAACACATCAAGTATAAAAGTCTTCACAGTTATCAGTTTTTGCACACGCACACACATAGCTTGCGACACAGACTGGTGCTCGCACAGCTCGTAAGCTTGCGGAGTGAACCAAATGAGTTGTATTTCCCGAGTGGACAGTGACAATGCCTGTTGCAACAAACGCAACAAGTTGTTTTCCTTTATAAGTGGAAACGCAAGCAGTCTGGCTAGGTGAAAGTATCTTTCAAAACTGCATTAACTGCAATGCAAAGTTTTGACTGCCTAGCTACTAATGGTAGCTTTACATCATCCACATCGTTATGCCAGCAGTCAATCACCTAAATTAGTATAACATTAATAATTAAAAAAACACACATTGGATAACAATGAAACAGTTTTTTTTGCAGTAGCCTAAATAAGTCTTAAACATTAAAAATGCTTTTACATCAGCTGTACTTAAAAATATAGCCTATGAATAGCCTAATAAACAATGCTTATTAAGAAATTATAAAAAAACAGCTTATTTTTCTATTGTAAGATGCCCCAAAACTGTATTAAAAACACAGTTAACTCTCAATACCCTGTTAACTCATTTATGTGGATGTGTTAATAAAAAATCATAACCATTATCTCATTTAACTGCATTTTGCAACTCAAAGAGGGTATTTTCAACTGCAGGGAGCACAATAAACCTAGAAAAATCCCAACTTCTGCCAGAAAAGGCAAACATGTTGATTCTTCTCTAGAAGAATGGTCATTTTCCTTCAAACCATTGTACATTCTTTTACAGGAAATGTTTTTATTTTATTTTATTTGTTTTACAATTATTAGTTTTGTTTAATTTTACATTAAAATGTGATAATAAAACAAAGTTGTTAATTCTGTTCAATTAGTTTTTTTTCCATAAAAAACACTACAAAAAGTACTGTTAAGAGAACCGTTAAAGTACAGAACCGATAAGTGGTATCGATGAAACTAGTAATACCGTTAAAACCTTAACAATACCCATCCCTAGTTAAGTCATCTGTTTTTTAAATCTGTGTTGTTATTGTTATGGTAAACATTGCATTCATGCATGTGTATTATTTGTTACAAATCTTGTAAATCTTTTAATCAAAATGTCGTAATTTAATCTTCGATAGCTTTTCCAGTCGTACAGTCTACCCTTTTACCTACCCTTCTATTACAGTTTGTTGCATGCTTGAATTAAGAGCTCCCTCAGTCCCACTGACAACCAGTGCATTGGAGCAAGTTTGTAGACAGTTGAAGCTTGACATGCTTCTGTATCTTTGGCCCTGTTTACATTGCCAGTTAAATGTGACCCAATTCAGATTTTTTTGCTCATATGTGGCAGAAATCGGATCTGTTCTATGACCGCGTAAAGGCACAAAAAAAAACATGCATTCGCATATACAGAGATCGTTTACAGGCCTCCATCATATGTGGAAATAAGTCAGATATAAATCAGATATGTGACAATGTGATGATCGTGTAAACAGGCAGATCGGATTTATTGGGCATTCCGTTTTGTACGTCATTAAACTTGCGACAATGTGGTACTTCTTTGCGGTTTAGAAGGAAGAAGAAAGAGCATGTGTGGAGACACCGATGCGGTAAGCAACAACAGAGGAAACATAGAGGAGGAAAGGGGTCAGTCGCCAGTATTTGCTCCCACCAGATCTGAGATCTCAAGGCTGATTTATACTTCTGCGTCAAACGCCGGCGTATGCTACGGCGCTGACGCATAGCCCTTCGCCGTGGCCATCGGCGTCACTGACGTGCACCTCTCAAAAAATGTAACTACACGTTGCAACAACGTGTAGTGCAAGCTCTATGATTGGTCGGCTTGGTAGCGCTGACGAGTCTGGGCGGGACCGAGAGCCGCGCGAATGGCGCGAGCGATTGTTTACAAGTGTGGAGTCCCGTGAAGGAGCTCCGGATAGAAAGTTTTGTTTTGTGTTTACCTCATAGTTAAAGTTGTTGCACGTCCACCGGTTCCTGCCTCCAAAATGAGCGAGTTTGAGTCACTTGTACAACCAGGAAGTGTTCAGGAAAAGTAAAACAGAAGCGACGAAACTCGACACAGAGGAACATTTACACCTCACTGCCAACTAGCGTTTTGGAAGTGTTAATGCAGACCAACAGAGGCAGCGCGCAGAAGTATAAATGCACAGCTACGCGCGTTGCATGCGCCGTGAGTTACGCCGGTCACCTGACGCAGAAGTATAAACCAGGCTTCACTCGTACCCATAAATTCCTCTGATTGCTGGAGGGCACCACAAGTAAACTATAGGCGCAAGCTGCCATGATGGCTCTTTCCCTCCTCCACTTTAAAATTATTTTAAAGTTGGCCGAACATCGCATATTTCGCAGAGTATTGGATAATAGGAACCATTTTTTATTATTTTTGTCTGTTTTTCTTTTAATCAAACAATTATTTGTATTAGTTATGTAAGGGTCATATATTAACTGAAGTTCTAATGTTGTGGGTGAGTGCTGTGCATACTAATTAGCATTTTTACAGAAGTAGATAGATGCGGGTCCAAAATTAAATTCAGCTCTGCAGAAACTTCCTGTCTGAAGAGAGGTGTTAAAACTGAACACAGAACACAGAAAGATGTATACTTTGTTGTTGGGCAGAGAAAGAGGAAGTATGTCGAAGGGGCGGCCAATGGAGGACTGAACAATGACTGACAAGTGACGTTACACCAAAACTCCACCTGTTAAGATTGGTTGTGTATATATGGTGAAGTCAGGAAACGTATGTTAGTTGCGAACCTCTTGAATGTAATTCTTGTATTGCATTGGGGTAACGTAACCCAGAGCTCTGTCATCGAATTATTCATTTGTATCCAATAAATTGTTACGATTTTTGACACTGAAGAAAAACCTCTCCAGACCTTTTCTCTTGAACACGCATGGAATAGAGATAGATATTCCAACAAGAGCTAAAAGCAAGACAATTTCTTCAATTTCTGGCTAGTGTGGCGCAGATGCTAAAATCCGCCTTTATGTATGCGCAACATCATAAATTGTATTGCAAGTCACGATAAAAAAAAAACATGTAAATGAACAGGAAAAATATTCAGACATGAGCAACCAATCGGAATTGAGCAAACTTTGAGACTTTAATATTGTGCACACTTGTGTCTTCTTTTTGTAGCCTGCTGGTACAGAGGACAAGAAACTGGACTGTGTGTTAAAAGAGGAGACTCTTTATGTGACTAGCGCTAATCAGGAGCTTCATGATGGGTGGACTCTGGATACCGCAGGTATAATTTAAATCTGATTCAACAGGGGGATATATGAAGAACACAGAAACTAGATTGCTGTACTTAGCGAAAATATCCCTAACCACTACACCACTTCTGCTAGTTTGTTGTGAATAAGAAATTGCAAGGAGGTGCACTAAAATAAAACTGTGCCCTCTATTCAGTATTCAATTCAAACTGGAAATGTCACAATAATGAAGTAAACTCAATGACAACTTATCATTTTATGGCAATATAATCTCAATCTCTTTGAATTAATACATAGAAATTCCTACAAATAAACCCCTTCAAAACTATCTGAATGCATTAGAATATGTGTTTTTGTTCTCCTCCAGCAGCTGAGACATCAGATTTCTCCGCTCATACTTACAGTGAGCAGGAGCTCCAGCAGATTCAAGATGAATGGAGCTCTGGACTTGACCAGAGCGTAAACGGTGAAGCATATCCAGGAATCGCAGACGTCCAGGGCCTGCCATACCGAACGCGATACGATGCAGAAGAGCTGGTGAGCTACAGCGTGCACGAGCTGGACATGGGAGACCTGGACGGCCTCAGAGAAACAGTTCAAAATGACCTGAGCATAGGCGAGGACGATGCCAGATCTTCCATCAAGAGAAGAAACGCAGGAACTTTACCTGCACAGGTCAACCAAGAAGCAAAAGACATGGACAGAGACATGCACTGTTTACTTATAAACGCCGATGGCCACTTGCAAGACATGAGCGTCCCGGCTGAAGATCACAGTGGGGTTGCAGGAAGCACAGGACATAGAGGACACCAACTATACAGTAAAGACACTGATACTAGTGCAGTTTATAAGGGACATCCAGTGAATCAGTCTCTGAAGCCTAACATTGGACAAGCATTAGCAGCCAACAAGCCCTTAACCAAGCGAGCGCACACTTGTAACCATTGTGGGAAGAATTTCACTCAGGCTTGCAACCTGAAAGTCCACCAGCGTGTCCATGAGCGGGAAGGCCTCCAATTGTGCAGCGACTGCGGAAAGGGCTTTACGTCCTTCAGCGATCTGCGCAAACACAGATGCAGCCAAACTGGAGACAAACCCTATGCTTGCACGCTATGTGGGAATAAATTCAGCCGACTGTGGAATCTGAAGCTGCATCAGCGGATTCACACGCAGGAGAAACCACACAAGTGCACCATGTGTAGTAAGAGCTTTACACGGGCGGACATCTTGAAAGTCCATAAGCGTACGCACACAGGAGAAAGACCGTACTGCTGTGTTATATGCGGACTGAGCTTCAAACGACTGGACCATCTGAGATCACATCAGCGCAAACATGCTGACATGAATAGTCAGTGACAACTTCGCAATTGTAGAGGTATTTCGAAGGTTATGAATCCTGACTGGACCTAAGATAACAAGCATAACTGTTCTACTATAAAACTTCCCATTTAAGTTACATCATCTTCATATTATGTGTTTTTTTTTTTAAAGTCCAAGCGTAAATCAATACTCTAATATTTACTCACCCTTTTGTCATAAAACCTGCACAACTTTCATTTTTTCCTGAGCATCTTCCACTTTTTCAACATGCTTTTTGTGTTTAGCAGGTCATGAGGGGGAGTAAATGATGCCGTTTCAGGGCCTTTATGAATAATGTGATCAATTTGGCATCGGATGAAAATCTTAATATTGATATTTGATACAAATTGGTAAGACATTGCTTATCACTGTCTTGCTCTGTCGATTTATTAACGTTTATTTAAAAAAAAAAAAGCTAGCAAATGAGCATATTTCTTAAAATGTGTAATGTGTGTGTCCGTTCATTTAAGTTCTGTGATTAAATGATCAAATGTAACATTTTTACTTTGAGCATTATTAAATCCTCTGTTTATTTCATGTACTCATTGTTTATTTACCTTCTTTACAGTCCTTCTGAATGAAATGATGTACATACAAGCTGATCATGAGGCCATAACAGGAAGTCAGAGCGGCTGACTGACAGTTTATTTATAGGTACTTCAGAGCTGTTTGTTTACTCAAATGACCTTATAAGTATATCAGAATCAAGCATTTAAAACACAAACATACATGAAGAATAATGGTTTAAGTACTGTAACCTAGTATAGAAGTATAGACCATTTTGCGGGATGTAAACAAAAATGGTCCCAACGTATTTCCTATTTTACATTTCTAATTTCTATAACTTCAGAGAATCCAGAAAGTGTGACATATTGATAAATAATGTCATGATTGATGTTCTAACATTAGGTTATGATTGAATTGCCTTTTGTGACAGTTCTGAAATAGTTTGATAAGCAGGAAATGTTCATGGGCCAATAACATGACCACATTGAAATGGTCTATATATATATATATATATATATATATATATATATATATATATATATATATATATATATATATATATATATATATATACACACATACATACACACACACACACAAACTACCTGGCAAAAATTTGTTGCCTATTGATGTTTAGGAACAACAAATAATAACTTGACTTCTAGTTGATCACTTGGCATCAGAAGTGGCTTATATGAAAGGCAAAGGCCTCTAGATTACGCTTATTTTACCAAAATAAATTATGATCATGTCTTGCTTTTTAATTATTCAATTAGGACAGTAAGGTCTGACCTTGCTTAGACAAGTCTTGTCAGTTAACAGAAATAATGTACAGTATAGAATATAAAGTCATGATGCAGTGGAAAAAGAATGAATATTGTGTATGACTCCCATGAGCTTGGAGGACTGCATCCATACATCTCTGCAATGACTCAACTTTTAAATTAAGTCATCTGGAATGGCAAAGAAAGCGTTCTTGAAGCAATCCCAGAGTTCATCAAGATTATTTAGATTAATCTTCAATACCTCCTCTATCTTTTCCCAGACATGCTCATTTATGTTTATATCTGGTGACTGGGCTGGTCAATCCTGGAGCACCTTGACCTTCTTTGCTTTCAGGAACTTTTATGTGGAGGCTGAAGTATTGAAGAATTTGCCCTCTGCTGTGGTTTGTAATGTGATGGGCAGCACAAATGTCTTGATACCTCAGGCTGTTGATGTTGCCATCCACTCTGCATTTCTGTGTGAATCTTGGGTCCATGCAGGTTCCAATAGGTCTTCTGCAGTATTTGCGATGATTGGAATGCAGTTCAACAGATGATGTATGTATATATTTGTGTGTTACCTAAACCAATATCTTTAATGTATTTCACGTATGCATTCTCAATCTTACTGGAGCAAGTGCTAATTTATTGTCACTAAAGTGTTTTATATATTTTATGAATTGCCTAGCAGTTTTAATTTAACTGATTGGATTTATTATTATGTATATAAATGTGCTAATCGTTTATCTTAAGATGCATTCACCTTATTGGTACTTGCAGATAACTGCATTTATGCATAACCGTCAAATATACAACATAGTGTTTGTTAAAACTGTAATCCACATTGGTGAACTTTTTCTACGCAATTTTACTGCATAAATCTAAATGTATGCCTAAATTTATTATTTTTATTCCAGATTTAGTAGTTTAGACTAAGAGAAATACTGGGAAATGTCTCTAGACTGATGGCATTTCGTGCCGTTCAGCCTTATGCTGCGTTCACACCAGATGCTGAAGAAGCATCAAGTGCAAGTGATTTACATGTTAAATCAATGCAAAGACACAAATAGACTTCCTGCGGCACAGCTCCAAATGAATCAAAGGTGCTTTTCACTCTTTCTAAAGCATATAAACTCAGCTAATCTCTCAAAAAAATCCATGTTAGGCATTTAGCAACGAAGCTAGAGTCACCAGGCAGACAGAAGTCCTGCCTATGATGCAAATCCGCGTCTATAGCTCAGTGAATTGGACACATGAATAAAGCGAGTAAACTCCTAATTTTATGCGTCTATATACTCACTAATAGCAAGATTTATCTTTGCAAACCGTGTCTGGTGTGAACACAGCAAATGATTTTAAATGTGAACAAAATCACCTGTTTTGTCATCACTTTAGACATTACGCTAGAGAATCATTCAAACACAAACTCTAAAGTGATGTTGGTGAACTAGTAACAGTTTCTGCTGTTTTGACGTCAGCTGCAGATGTGTGAATGAATGGCGGAAGAAAGTAGTTCCTTATGGAAATTGTTTTTAGACTCTCCGTGTTTGATTTTCTTATACTGACGATTATGCCGTCGAACTGTTTTATAAACGCAATATCACACTCGTAGCAGTGCGATATGGTAATATCGTCACTGGTGAGACACTAAGGCTCTCAGTCTGCAGTCAACCCATGCCTCCCACCAGTTATTTCTTTTAAATAAGTGTAAGTAACTTTTATTTCTATAATAACTGAAGAACATAAATCCCAACAAATCTGTTATTTTACTGTTGCGATGTCTATTACATTTTGAGAAAATGAGAGGAAGTTTTGAAAGTCATAAGTGTTTTCTTAAGTTATGTTTTGAATGAAAATAATACACAAGGTGCATTTTACACGTAGACTGTAAAAAAAATTATATGTCTCATATTTCACACCAGAGACCAGTTGAATTACCGTGCTGTTTTTTTTTTAAGTACCGTGCTGTCCAAAAAGGCCACCGTACAACTCGTGACGTCACCAACAACAACATTATTGTCTGTCTGTTTAGCTCCGCTTCGTCTTGACACGCTGAATGATATATTAGCCAAACATCACGTATTTTACTCAATTCATAAAACAACTGAGCTAGTACTACAGTCATATCAACAGTACGCGAGCATTTGCCATTACGAGCGCCCGAAGGAGATTAATTTCCTCTCGCGTTTCCAACTGCCAAGCCGATGTCATGAGCTCAATGCTAACGCGGATTTCATCGTCAGGTTTTAACGTTACATCGCCGACCGTCAAAGTGTGAAACTCAGTCTACAGACCGCTCACGTGTGCACTCAGTACTGAATAGGAAATACAATACCCGATATATTAATCGAGATGCGGGGTCGTTAATGTCATGGTCACTGTTGAGCATCCAGCGATCAGTTCCTCTCTGTAAACCGAGCAGATCAGACACACAGGCAGGATGTCTGACACGCTAGTCATCACTTTCCAGACTCGGCTCTCCGCGGTGATGGAGACCGTCCTGAAGACCACCATGTACGAGATCACCCGGCTGGTGGAGGAGAGCTTCGTGGAGCAAATGGACCGGGGCAAGCGGGAGGCGGAGGTGCTGAAGCGGAGGCTGATCGTGTCCGAGGCCAAGCTGAGGGAGCGGGAGAGGTTTAAGAAGGTGAGGTGTGTGGACTGCGGTCGGACAGCAGTGTCCCGGAGGAGGTTACTTCATGTCAAAGGCCCTGAAACACAGAATAGTGAGTAACTTACTAATGAATGTCTGACATCATGAGTTATGCAGTGTTTACAATTGAGGTAAAGTTGGTTTTATTCTCGCATATTCATTTAGTGACAACTAGTGACATGTTCCCTATAGTGTTTACCATGATATTTTGTATATTCGGTCTGAATTAGCATGTCATTATGACTTGAAAACAACATTAGCACTATTTACTATGAACAATTCTTACTTTGATAGTCATTGCCTGCCATAATGTTTTGACTAACGTTATTTAGAAACGGCAAAGAATACTTTTCTGAAATTGTATTATCAAGGATAAAGTCTAAATGTATGAATATAAAACCAACTTCACCTCAATGTGTTTTCAGTTGAGGTAAAATTAGTTATCTTTGTATATTTATTCGGACTTTCTCCCTAATATAATTTCATACAAGTATTCTTTGCTAATTCTAAATAGGGAAATCACGTTATTAGCTAACGACAATCAGAGTATTGTTTATAATCAATTAAATAGTGCTAATGTTGTTTTGAAGTCATATCCACATGCTAATTCAGATTGAATATTCAAAGTACCATGGTAAACATTAAAGGACACATGTCACAATTTGTCAATAAACAAATGTGTGAAAATAAAACCAACTTTACCTCAGTGTGTTTACATGGGTCATTCATTGGCTATGACAACACACTGTATGAGCAATTCCATGCAAATGTCAACCTTACCATAAACAAAATGACGGTTTTTAAGGTATTAGCTTCGAATGCTTTAAAGCATGGGTCACCAATCCAGGGCCGGTGTCCCTGCAGGGTTTAGCTCCAACTTGCCTGAACACACCTGCCTGGATGTTTCGAGTATACCTAGCAAGACCTTGATTAGCTTGTTCAGGTGTGTTTGATTAGGGTTGGAGCTAAAATCTGCAGGACACCGGCCCTCCAGGAACAAGTTTGGTGACCACTGCTTTAAAGTGACTTTATGATCTTTACTCACAATAATGAGGATCTAAATAATTGATAGGGCGAGGCAGTGGCGCAGTGGCGCAGTAGGTAGTGCTGTCACCTCACAGCAAGTGGGTCGATGGTTCGAACCTCGGCTTAGTTGGCGTTTCTGTGTGGAGTTTGCATGTTCTCCCTGCCTTCGCGTGGGTTTTCCCCGGGTGCTCCGGTTTCCGCCACAGTCCAAAGACATGCGGTCAGATGAATTGGGTAAACTAAATTGTCCGTAGTGTATGAGTGTGTGTGTGAATGTTTGTGTGGATGTTTCCCAGAGATGGGTTGCGGCTGGAAGGGCATCCGCTGTGTAAAAACTTGCTGGATAAGTTGGCGGTTGACCCCCACCTGTCAATGTGTCACAATCACATTTCGTACTTTTGTGGGTTTCAAGGTGTATTATTTCAGTTTTTATGTTTTATGCCGGAGTTATACATTACTGTTTTAGTTATTTAATATATGTTATGTTATTTCGATTTTTAAAAAATCATTTTGGACTTTTGAAGTTTGCTGTGGACATTTTCTGGTCACATGATAACCAGATGACTTCCTGATTACTGCATTAGCAACTAATACAGACCATAAATCTTTTTCAGAATGATTCTTTCCATCATAGAACTGATGCAATGAAGTCATTTTTTGTGGGAATTGTGTTTGTAATATATTATGATTTTATAAGCCATATGAAACCTAAAACCAACAAACATTTATATGATTTATATCATTTACATCAGAAACGATAACAATTCTTTAATTATTACAAACTGAAATACCTTTTTATGCTTTAAAAAAAAAAAAAAAAAAAAAAAAATATATATATATATATATATATATATATATATATATATATATATATATATATATATATATCCAGACAATTTAGTTTATCATATATAAAAAAACATTTTAATGATTTTCAACATAAAGTGAAATAAAGTTTTTTTTTTTTTCGATTTTTATTACACAACCACAAAATATTGGATATGCTGCTCTGATTTAGCTCACAAATAGATTTCAAACAAGAAGAATAACATACAATGTATGTAACGCTGACGAACAGAACAGTTGACAAAAACATGAAACTATAGTTGTCAGTTTTGTGCATTTTATTTTGATTATACTTTTGAATTATTTAAGTTCTTCAGATGATCTTGAGTCATTGTCCAATGTGGCATTATTATGGTCTGTTCATTTAAAGTAATACACTTTGTTTAAGTCGCAAAATATAAGCTTGACTGAATGTTTCTCTGTTTTTATTGTAAAGATTTGGACAATGCGCTTGTTGTAAAGCAGGAAAATGCCTCTGACAGTAGCTGGAGATGCAGTCCCAAAGGAAGCACAAATCAGGAGAAACCTTCAGCAACTCCAGAACCAAAACAGAATGTATGTATTGTATTGTTTTTGTTGCTAATAATGAAATCTGTTATAATACATTCCATGGAAAATGTTAAATCTAACAAATCATTACTTTGCACATAAAACTAGATTTAATATTATCTAATGCAATAAAAATGACTCTCCATAACCAATGAATGCTATCATGATGAACTCTAGCTTGTGTTTATATGTTTGTATGTAGAAATCTAAGTTTAAAAAACATCCTGACTGGCATGCAGAGATGATGTGTTAGAATTCAGGGTGATGCAGCTATAGATGTTTGATTTTAAATGCTCTGTTCTTCTAACATGTTTTGTTTAACATTGGTCTGACATCTGAATGAACACTTTGTGAATAAATATGTCTTGTTTTGGTTTTCGAATCACCTTAGTCGCATGACCTCGGTGTTTCGAATCACCTTATTCGCATGACCTCGGTGTTTCGAATCACCTTAGTCGCATGACCTTGGTGTTTCAAATCACCTTTTCGCATGACCTCGGTGTTTCGAATCACCTTAGTCGCATGACCTCGGTGTTTCGAATCACCTTAGTCGCATGACCTTGGTGTTTCGAATCACCTTAGTCGCATGACCTGGGTGTTTCGAATCACCTTAGTCGCATGACCTTGGTGTTTCGAATCACCTTAGTCGCATGACCTGGGTGTTTCGAATCACCTTAGTCCCATGACCTTGGTGTTTCGGATCACCTTAGTCGCATGACCTCGGTGTTTCGAATCACCTTAGTCGCATGACCTTGGTGTTTCGAATCACCTTTTCGCATGACCTCGGTGTTTCGAATCACCTTAGTCGCATGACCTCGGTGTTTCGAATCACCTTAGTCGCATGACCTTGGTGTTTCGAATCACCTTAGTCGCATGACCTGGGTGTTTCGAATCACCTTAGTCGCATGACCTTGGTGTTTCGAATCACCTTAGTCGCATGACCTGGGTGTTTCGAATCACCTTAGTCGCATGACCTTGGTGTTTCGAATCACCTTAGTCACATGACCTGGGTGTTTCGAATCCCCTTAGTCGCATGACCTTGGTGTTTCGAATCACTTTAGTCGCATGACCTGGGTGTTTCGAATCTCCTTAGTCGCATGACCTTGGTGTTTCGAATCACCTTAGTCGCATGACCTGGGTGTTTCGAATCTCCTTAGTCGCATGACCTTGCTGTTTCGACTCACCTTAGTCGCATAACCTTGGTGTTTCGAATCATCTTAGTCGCATGACCTTGGTGTTTCAAATCACCTTAGTCGCATGACCTGGGTGTTTCAAATCATGCTTGGGTGCAGTGTTTCAAAACACTTGCATTTCGGTATCTTGACACTGTGTCGAAACGTCAGTTTCACGTCAGCCATCCATAGAAGATGAGTGCCTTAAGTATTTTCTTTAATGCAACAGGAAAACAATTTAAATCATCACATCTGAAGAATATGCTATTTTGACTAGAAAAACAAGACACTGTAAATGAGTAAGAGATTTCACATATTGAAGAAAAACATGGATATTTAAGTTTTGTATTCTGTAACTAGCTTATGTGCATTTTTGTCAGGCTGTTCAGCAGGCAGTGTGTGAACCAAAACCTGCAGGAGAAGTGAAAGAAGAAACGAAAGAGCCCAGAGACACACAATTGTGCCTAAAAATACACTCTCAGCTACACAAACAGAAAGATCCTCAGAGCAGTGTACAAGAAACCAACGGCCTCCGCAGCGCAGATTCAACAGTCACGTCTTGCACTGAACTTGACGAGGACGAAGCCAGACACCGAAGCCCCACAAAATGGTTCAACTCCAAAACAGACCCTCGTTCGGCACTCGTTTCGCAGCCAGAACCAGAAACTCCATGCTTGAGACCCCAAATGGCTGACTCAAGTCCCATTAAACAAGAAGTTGTGGTGATGCTTCCATCAGATTGGGAAGACATGGAGATCAGGCCTCACAACAGTGCTAAGAAAACACATCTCCCACCTTCAGCCAGAGTTCAGGAGCGAGTCTCATTCCCTCCTCCACCACCACCTGTCAAACGTCAAATCGTTCCAACGCAAGCCATGCAGAATCTCAGAGTACCCGTCAAGAAGAACACCAAAATCGTTGTACATCCCAATGCGGCAATGAGCGATCATGGAGCTGTAGATCTAAACCGAAGCCTTCCTGCGCCGAAACTCTCTCAAGTCCGTCAGTATCCTGAAGGAGCGGGCGAAAGAAGCTTCAATACTATGAATCCTGGAAGAAGTTTGCCTCCAGTGGTCAATATGAGGGTCCAAGTGGACGCCCGGAATATTTCAGCAAAGACTACGCATAATTGCAGCCAGTGCGGAAAAGGCTTCTCTCATTTGTGTCACCTCCGAGCGCACCAGCAGATCCACACAGGCGATCGGCAGTTCTGCTGCACCATCTGTGGGCGGAGCTTCACCAAACTGAGCAACCTGAAAGCGCACCGGAGGGTCCACACGGGCGAGAGACCCTACATCTGTGCAGACTGCGGGAAGAGGTTCACGCAGAAATGCAACTTAAAGAGACATCAGAGAATTCACTCTGAATTCACCCACTCCAGCGTATGACCGAATACGGTTGTGTTACACATTACACATGCTAATCAGTGTTGTTTTGGTTAGCGGTTAAATTATTTTTGATATCATGCATCCCTAACCTTGTGTTCTTAAAAACGTGTTTTTTTTGTTTGTTTTTTTTTGCAGTGACTGGATCACTTGAGGCAAATACTGGTTATATTGTGATAAATCTAAATATATTGAAGCGGATAACTTTCCTAGTTAAGGCAGGTGTAATGCTACACAGTGCAAATTCTGATCGTCAGTGTAAAGGTCTTTGCACACTGAGGTCCGAAATTTTCAAATGCGTTTTTTCGTATTGATATGCGAAATAGTCATCACGTACACAAAATTTGCACAATGAGGGCTATTCTTTTAAGGATCTAGGCGCAAAGTCTAAAGCGCATAGCGCAAAAGCATTAATGGCATGTCCCGAATCTACTTTTGCTATTTTAAATACGAAAAAAAAAGGTTTGTGCCGCTGCGCATAGTCTAACAGGGTTGTGCTTATTCTCTTGATGAGTTATGGGTGTGTTTGGAGAATAACCTGCATTAAACAGGTTAAAAATCAGTTTCATTTCTCATTCCATTTAAGAGTCATTTGCATCACGCCATGGCGCATTTGCTATTTACATGGCAGACTTTGTAAGTGTAAAAACTGAACGCTTAACTAGCGAGAAAACAGTTGAACAGACCATCTGCAGCGCAAGGATAAAGAACAAGCCTCCTCCATTCGGCCTTTATTTTCTCGTTCTCTTCAATTTTACTCTTACTTCTTTACTTTCGTGGATAAGGAAACTTGTTGTACCCACTCGACTAAAGACATCATTTGCCTATTCATTTAATTTTATTTGTTAAGCGCAAAGATTTGTTTCTAAATTCAACTTTAATTTCCAGCAAACAAAAAAAAAAAAATGAAAATAACAAAGTGTGGTAATATAGAAAAGCTATATCCAAACACACGTCCTATTCTTATGCCTCATATGGTCCAGAACCCGACAGATGGACAAATCTGAGCTTGTTTTTTTATAAAAACTAAAATAAATTGAAATTCGATAAATAATACTACTAATAATAATAACATTATATAAAAGCAAATTGTCATAAATAAACTAAAAAAGCCCCTATTTTTAGTTCCTCAAAATAGCAACGCACCAACAATGCGCCTTGACACATCTCCTTTCTAGACCAGCACACCCACAAAGTCCACAAAGTGGTGCAAATGGATGTACTATTTAAGCAACGTGCCTCAAAACGGGAAAATTATGGTTGTGCTGGTCTGACAATAGCAACAAATTGCATCAAACATGTTTTGCGCCTTATTGCACCGGGTGTATTATAGGGGCCTGAGTATGATGCATATTAATTAATCCATTCTGAAAAAACGCAAAACATTCGGAGTCTAAATACACTCACATTCTACAATTTGAACTTTTTGTAGGAACATTTTTATTTTAAATAAATGAATACTTCCACGGGCAGTGAAATACTTCAAATGTTTCTAATTTAAATAAATATGGTTCTTTTTTCAGCTTTCTATTCATCAGTGAATCCTAAAAAGTGGATCTAGTTTACACAATTTTTAGCAATTTTCAGTTTAAAGTTTAGCAATTTTATTTTTTCAATTTTGATATCTAAAAGTTATTTTTGACCATCGATTCAGCACATTATAATGATTTGTGAAAGATTGTTTGACACTGAAAACTGGAGCAGTATTACATTTTAAAATCAATTAAATGGTTTTCACAATATAACAGTTTCACTTTGCTTTCAGAAACTTTTTAAAAAAAGGTTTCACACTTTTAAATGGTATTCTATTTAGCTTTCTTTTTTTTTTTTTTTTTTTTACCACAAATTTCAGAACCCTGGTGTCATATTTTCCCAACCACAAAACACAAAATTCCCAACCATTGCCAAAATTGCACAGTTTTCCAAAACTCTTAACTCTCAAAATGCTCAAAATGATAAGTTACTGTTGCATTACTCTTGATGCATGGAAGCTGATGTACAATATTACATATTTAGATGATGAAAGTTTCAGGAAATTTCAAATGACTTCAGTTACCACAGACGATGGCCCAACTAGACCATCCTTATTCCATATATATGGTTTCTATGTTCCATGTACCACTTTTTACAGACAGTGTTTTTTTATATTTGACATTACTGTATGTAAGAACCTGTGGCCAAATCCACAAGACCAGATTGATGGAAAGATCCCAAATAGAAGTCTGATATACGGAAATACATATATGCAAATTACATTTTTGACATACTAGTGCTTTATATATACAAAAATATGTCATAGATGTCAAGATATTGCAAAAATTTAGAATTACAAATTTGTACATGTTATGTAAATATATTACCTATTATGTTCTATATTTTACCTACAAATATATTACCTATGGGTGATGCGATGGTGCAGTAGCTTGCTGGTTCGAGCCTCGGCTGGGTCAGTTGGCGTTTCTGTTTGGAGTTTCCATGTTCTCCCTGCGTTTACATGGGTTTCCTCCAGGTGCTCCAGTTTCCCCCACAGTCCAAAGACATGCAGTGAATTGGGTAGGCTAAATGGTTCGTAGTGTATGAGTGTGTATGAATGTTTACCAGAGATGGGTTGCGGCTGGAAGGGCATCCACTGCGCAAAAACATATGCTGGATAAGTTGGCGGTTCATTCCACTGTGGTGACCTCAGATTAATAAAGGGACTAAGCTGAAAAGAAAATGAATGAATAAACATTACCTATAAATTGGCTTTATATAAACACACACACACACACACATTTGTATGTATATGATATGGCTGAAAAAAATATTTTTGCAATATTTTGACAAATATGACATTTTATTTGCTGCTTTTTGATTTGGGAATGTGCAGTCAGAGACACTTATTTAACTCTGCTATTCTGTTTTGTTTTGTTTACAGTATACATACATTCTTAATGAACAAAACATTAGTTCAGTGATTCCACTGTTTGTACTGTTTCCTCTACATGCATAAACCATAATGAAACCTGTATTATATATTTTAAACAGCAATATTGAATGATTGCTAATAATTGTTTACTGAATCGATGTGCATCTTGTTTGCTGGTGATCTAAAGTAATGTTTCTGTAGTATTTGCATGATAAAAGGATGATGTGAATCAATGATCCTGCAAATGGAAGACTTCTCTAAAGAAATGAATGCAACATGCAAAGTTTTAAACACTGGAGAGTCTTTGATAAACGTAGTGACTGTTTAGAGTGTTGTGTCTAGAGTTTTGAAAATTGACATCAGGGTTCTGACATGTTTAATGAACAAAATATTTTGATATATATTAATGCGCAACATGAGAAACGCCTTTAAAAAAATATCCCACACAATCAAACACTGCTTTATGGATTCATTATTAAAAAGTGTATATTTTTTCATTACAGTGGGGATAATGTACTCGATCCTAAAACATTGACAACTTTGTGAATTTATAAATAGGTAAACTGTGAGGCTCCCTAAAATATGCTTTATTTTTGCAGTTTTTGGAAGGTTTCTCTGCTTGTTTGTTGGTTTTCCCAATTTAAAGTGTTTAAGTCAGTTTATAAGCTTTATTGAATAAAACCGCTACTCACTCAATTACTATTACTGTTATATGACATCTCTTTTGATTTACGCATTCAGATGTGTAGCATTAGCTCTGTCAACCGCTGCACAAACTCACTATTGCAGCAGGATAGCATTATTGTTTTATTTTGAAACTGCAGATCAAATGTGTGTATATTTGCTGCTGTGGACTGAATTGTTGACATTAAGATGTCAGTGCTGATCTTGTAGGTTACGATTCTACGCAGGCAGGGGTGGCCAGTGATTAAACTCAAAATGTAGTGTTATTTAGACTGTAAAGAGAGTGACAGTAGAGCTGATGCTTTCCGATGAGCTTCTCATTGTAGTTTATGTATGTTTTTTGTTGATTTAAAGCCACACACTGTGTCACATCACACACCGAGCAAACTCTTCCAGTAATGCATGCAAACAGATTGTTGGTGATTCAGGAACACCACAGGAAGTAATGTATGTTGCGGACTAAATGACTGTATTTACACTTATTTTTTCCTGTGAAAATTGCTGATGTAAATGATGAAATTAGAATTTAAATGGACCAAATGGCCAGAAGTTCATGTCTTGGTTTCTGTCATCAATATGTTGTTTTGTAGTGTTCATGTCAACCCAATTAAACTCTCCTACAGTTGTTTGGAAGCATACTTACAGTATGTTCATTGGTCATGAAGTCTTATTCGTTTGTACTTAAGATGCTTTTATTTTTGCACACATTTAACTGGCGCATTGTCCTTTCCTATTGTATTTTAAAGTAATGCATACACTCACCGGCCATTTTATTAGGTACACCTGTCCAGCTGCTGGTTAGCGCAAATTTCTAATCAGCCAATCACATGGCAGCATCTCAATGCATTTAGACGTGTAGACATGGTCAAGACGATCTGGAAAGGAGAATGGCCAGACTGATAGAAAGGGAACAGTAACTCAAATAACCACTCGCTACAACCAAGGTATGCAGAAGAGCGTTTCTGAATGCACAACATGACAAACCTTGAGGCAGATGGGCTACAGCAGCAGAGGACCACACTGGGTGCCACTCCTGTCAGCTAAGAACAGGAAACTGAGACTACAATTTGCACAGGCTCACCAAAATTGGACAATTGAAAAATGGAAAAACATTGCCCGGTCTGATGAGTCTCGATTTCTGCTGCAACATTCAGATGTTAGAGTCAGAATTTGACGTCAACAACATGAAAGCATGGATCCATTCTGCCTTGTATCAACGGTTCGAGCTGGTGGTGGTGGTGGTGGTGTAATGGTGTGGGGGATATTTTCTTTGCACACTTTGGGCTCATTAGTACAAATTGAGAATCGTGTCAACGCCACAACCTACCTGAGTATTGTTGTTGACCATGTTCATCCCTTTATGACCACAGTGTACCCATCTCCTGATGGCTATGGTAGATATAAATTTAAGTATTTTATATATAAAAATATATATAAAACATAAAAAATGCATTTTTTTTCTATTTTTATTTCGTTTTAAGGGCAGCAGTGTCTCCAGAAAAAAAGGACCCTCCACATCAAAAGCTACTGCTCGGCCCACTAATCAGGAAACGCTTAAAAGAGAACAAATAACTTATTTGCTAATATCCAAGCATGCTATGGACCAGATTTATATCCAAAGGAAAAAAAAGATATCCAAAGATGTCTTTTTTTAAAAGTTGTAAATAAATGTGTTTTTGAAATGAAGACAGCAGAAGTCTGATTTATTTTAATTATTAAGCCTGATATGTTTAATGCTCAGAAATATTTTAAATGTTTGCTAAAATATATTATGTTTAAATGGAAAATGTCTTTTTGCTTTTAAACCAGAAATTTTATAAAAGAATTTAATTTAAATCAGTAATCACAATATTGTGAAATCTTGATCTTTTTATCCAAGGTTATCATACCATCACAATCTTATACCAGACCCGTAGCTAGCCTGGGGAAAGGGGTAGTTCTTTTCTCAAAAAAGTGGACCTTGTTGTAGTTATACGCCTCATTTTCTATTTAGGTGAAGTTTATTTATTAACTAATTTCGAAAGAATCACATGCTTATGATTGTTTGCGCCTGGTCCCGCATTATTTAATTTATTATACACCAATCAGACCATTCCTAAGCCACTATAAATACCCTAAGTTCCATATAACAGCCATCTTCATTTTAAAGAATCCTCCCTTCCACCCCTACTCCTCCTCCTATCCTAGATGGGCAGCACGGTGGTCCAGTGGTTAGCACTGTTGCCTCACAGTAAGAAAGTCACTGGCTCTAGTCCTTACCAAGCCAGTGGATGTTTCTGTTTACACGTTTTCCCCGTGCTTACATGGGTTTCCTCCCACTGTCCAAAAACATGCAACTTAAGTTAATTGACTTATTCAAATCGGCATAGACATGCTCCTAATAAGTGGTAATCTCTTAAGAGCAATCACTGTTCATTAGCTACTACAGCAGGGGGGTTCTCGAGATCTACCTGAGCTCAAACTCCCTTCTCACCTTGCAAATGGGAGGGAGCCCCGGGCTCGAGGATCTTAAGAGCTCAGGGCTCTCTCCCAGGACAGCTTGCCAAACAAGCTTTATAATCAGTCATCAGCTAAGTGTGAACTTTGAGTTATGACATTAAAATACTGAATTTAGGTTACATTTTAAGCACTATTTTAGCTGAATTAGCTTGTTGGATGGTCATCATAGCCACACCTTTTGATCATTTAGAATAAAAGTTACTTGTCATTTGTTTCTCTATTTAAAAACAGTAGTGAAAGACGACTTCACTTATGTCAGATGTTTTCTTGGACACCTGCTGTTAGATTATTTGCATTGGCCAAAACGGATTAACTAAGTCACACTAGAATTCCGCATGGTCTTAAAGCCTTTTTTGATTGCTTATTTTTATTATTTATGATGGCACAGCAGTCAAAATAAGACAAATGAGCTCATGAATGAATTCTTTGTCATTGAGGAGTGGGTCTTCCAAACCACTTGAACCCCCTGGCCTACCCAATCTGTAAAATTCAGCAGCCATGTTGATGCACAACACATTCAACATTTGAAAAATAGAAACTACACTTGCTGAATAAAAACGTCATCATGTAAAAAAAAAAGTCATCATGTAATGTATCATACCTTCTTCATAACATGCTAATCACAGCAGAAGAAGACTGATAGTAGTGCAGGTCATTCTCCAGTCCACCGGATGGCAGTAATATAGAAAAACCACCTACATTTTCTGCATCCGCCGAGGAGGACTGTCAACCTAACGATCAGATTACTCCACTAATAACGTCTATACTCGCATCATTTTGCGGATTTCTTCCAAGAAATCCTCTTCACGAGGATCATATCAACAAGGTATTTACCATCTGAATAACACAACGCATGTTCGTAATCAGCGTCCAGTTTCATTGTTTTACTCTGTAACGTTACATTAAAGGCCCGAAGAGAGGTTGCGAGCTTATTTTTGTAGAACAAAAGAACATATAAACATAGACATGCAACGTTATAGATATATCACTAATTACATGATTATATTAGCGTAATAACTCATAATTGGTTTGTTATGTAGTGCACGTGGCTGTAAAAACCACAACAAACAAAACGCCCACCTGGTGACAGGAATGGTGTTCTGGAAATATCTGTTTTTCCTAGCAAGTGTTTGATGTTTGTTAATGAGGGCACTGATACCTCAGTGTTTAGACTGTGTATTTCTGCGTTTCAGGGCGGTTGCTTTCATCGTTTCTCCCTCAAGGTGTCATCTCGAGGCGCCGGGACGATGACTGAAGCCCTTTTCCTCACATTCCAGTCGCAGCTGTCGGTGGTGATGGAGACCGTCCTGAAGTCCGCCATGTTCGAGATCACACGGCTGGTGGAGGACAGTTTCCTGGAGGAAGTGGGTCACCATAAGCAGGAGGTGGAGGTGCTGAAACTGAGGCTGCAGCTGTCCGAGAGTAAGCTGAGGGAGAAGGAGAGGGAGCGGGAATGGGAGAAGGAGAGGGAGCGGGGCAGGAGGACACAGTGTCCGGATTGTGGCCGGACAGGAGACTCCAGCAGCAGAGACGAGAGCCAGACTGTCGAAACCGCTCAGGGTGAGTTACAGACAGGGCTGAAAACTGATAAAATGTATTTGCCATACTACAGGTCATTGTGTGGGTTAGGAAGAGCTGAAGAATATCCCATCATCTAAAGCAGGGGTCACCAATCTCGGTCCTGGAGGCCCGGTGTCCCTGCAGGGTTTAGCTCCAACTTGCCTCAACACACCTGCCTGGATGTTTCAAGTATACCTAGTAAGACCTTAATTAGCTTGTTCAGGTGTGTTTGATTAGGGTTGGAGTTAAAATCTGCAGGACACCGGCCCTCCAGGAGCAAGTTTGGTGACCCCTGATCTAGAGCTTAAGACTGGCTGTTAATAACGTTTATTTTTGTTTATTACTTTAATATATGTATTATTGTTATTGTTGTTATTATTATTATTAATAATAATAATAGTAGTAATAATATCCACAAACTGCAGATGTGACAATAAATCAATCAAAAAAACAAACAAATATTATTCATTATAATTTTACGTATTATTTGTATTTTTTTTCATGTAATTGTATGAATCATAATTGTCGCCATTTTTTTATATTATTATGATTAATTGTAGCCAGAAGGTGCTAATGTGGCAATTGCATTATTATTGATTATTAATATAGTATTAATACTCTTTGGGATGGCACGGGTTTGGAAGAGCTGAAGGATATCCCAGCATTGTAGGGCTTAAGTCTAGTTGTTAATAACTGTTTTTGATGATTATTTTTAGATAATTATTATTATTAATAATAATTGTAGCCAGCCACTATTAGCTGATGTGGCAATAAACAAACAAAAAATATGATTCATTGTAATTTTATATATTATTTGTAAAACTCATTTTAATTGTATGTATTATTATGAATTGTAGCCATTTTATATATTATGATTAATTGTAGACATAAGGTGCTGATGTGGCAATAAATAAACAAACAAATATTATTAGTTACCAAACAAATTTAGGAAACTCAAAAGCACATAACAAAATTTGACAAATAAAAAAAACAACAAACACAACGTAAGATTTAAATTAACTAATAACCTAAAAATTTGTAAGAATATTTAAGAATATTGACAAATATTACATTTGTATATATACAGTATACTATATATACATACAATAGCCAATTAGCCCCCCTGTTTATTTTTTCCCCATTTATTTTTGTTTAACAGAGAGAAGATTTCTTCAGCACATTTCTAAATATAATAGTTTTAATAACTCATTTCTAATAACTGATGTATTTTATCTTTGCCATGATGATAGTAAATAATATTTGACTAGATTTCTTTCAAGACACTTCTATACAGCTTAAAGTGACATTTAAAGGTTTAACTAGGTTAATTAGGTTAACTAGGCAGGTTAGGGTAATTGGGCAATTTATTGTATAATTATGGTTGGTTCTGTAGACCATCGAGAAAAAGTATATATATCTTAAAGGGGCTAATAATTTTGTCCTTGAAATGGATTTTAAAAAATTAAAATTGGTTTTATTCTAAGCAAAATAAAACAAAGAAAACTTTCTCCAGAAGAAAAAACATTATCAGATATACTGTAAAAATTTCCTTGCTCTGTTAAACATCATTTGGGAAATATAAAAAATAAATAATTTCAAAGGGGGTTAATGATTCTCAGTTGAACTGTATATATTGGTTACAGTGCTTCTAAAATTGTAAACTGAACCATAGCGCATATCTATATGTATTAAATTAAAATGTATTATTAACTTTTAAAATATATATGTTTTATTTCAAATATAGATATTTAAAATTGAATTCTATTATTAATCAACTAAAGAATGTAATATAAAAAATATTTTTTATAGCAAAATGCAAAAAAAAAAAAAATCTGAATACTTAAATATTTCAGAATTTCTGATTAATATTATTAAATATTTAAAAAATAATAATATAAATAATCAAAGTATAAACCGAATAACCCATGTCCCATAGTTTATAAAAGGCGTTTTTTAACTATAAACATCTGTCTGTCAGATTTCATTGTTGCATTCTTTAAATGATCGTAGTCCTATATTTATGGATTATGCCCTGTTAATAACGTCATGTGTATGTTTGAATATTTTTAGTGCTGTTCCTAAATTATTTAAACATTTTTCCAATGCAGGAGCAGACACCCTTTGTCTAGGCCTAAGTCTGAGAGAACAATCCGCCAATCCGTCTGCACTGACTGAAGAAATGTGGAGCACCAGACAACGCCTGGAGTCTAACAAACAAACAACAACAACAACAACAACTACTACAAACACACACTCGAAAGAGAAGAGCGACACACATAGGCAAAAAACAAAAGAGATCATCGCACCTCACTCCAATGCACAAGTTCCACAGGATTTCCTGCAGAGGCTTCTAGGCAGTTCTGTCCTTCAGAGCGAGTCCACTAGTGACTTCAAACCCCGAGAACAACCCGAAAAAGACTTCACTCTTGACAAGGAGATGCACTCAGATCACTCGGGACTGCTGCAAAGTCCTCCTTCCCAGGATGTGCACAAGGACTCGCCGTTATCGTCACCAAATGGACGAGTAAAATCAGAAATCCAGCTGGATCTCCTACCTGTCAAAGAAGAGGAGGAGATGGTTCCGGTGTGGGACAGCATCAACAGAGACGAAGATGAAATGGCCGATCCCGGTCAGGCAGAGCTCAGAGGATCTTGTGATCAGGAGGAGATACAGGTAGAAAGCTTTCCAGGTCTAAACTCTCTCGACATGCCAGATGCCACCTCATATTTCACACCTTATTCACTGCTACATCAAGGTATTAGGGCACAACATAGTCATTTATGCACATCAGAGCTGATGCTGTCTAGCATACCAGAGAGGGCACATTCATTTGTCCAACCGGAAAACGGACAAAGCTATGCTGGTTCAGAGAGTTCGGTCCGCTATACTCGCGATGATGTTTGTCCAGGCGAGAAAGCAGTCGGCCGTGTAAAATACCCAAAGCGTTTCTCCCAGGACAAACATGGGACGCCTGAGCAGATCCATGCAGACAGAACCCACCAGTGCACCCAGTGTGGAAAAACCTTTCTGAGAGCTTGTGATCTGAAAGCTCATGTGCTCATCCACAAGGGCAAGAAGCCTCTGAGCTGCTCGCAGTGCAATCAGACGTTCGCGTACAACTTCGAGCTCAAGGTTCACCAGCGAAACCACTCAGGGGAGCGACCTCACGTCTGTCCGCACTGCGGCAAGGCCTTCGCTCGGATGAGCAACTTCAGGCAGCACCAGAACATCCACACTCGCGAGAAGCTCTTCAGCTGCTCTCAATGCGGGATGCGATTCAATCGAGCCACCAACCTGCGGGTTCACCTCAGACGCCACAGTCACGCCGGGATGTCTTACAATTGCCCCCATTGTACAAAGACCTTTCTGAATCCCAGGCAAATGAAGAGTCATTTACTGAAAGTCCACGGAAGAACAGGGAAATAAGTGTATTTCTCATTTCCACTCATGTTTTCCCAATGCAGTCTGATTTATGTTTACGTATTATAAACGGTCTGCACTGTTAGAAGTCAAGAAGCCAACAGAGGACACCTTACAGACAACTAAGCGACTGAATAGGACCTGGACAAATTGTTATGCATGGAATCTTTAAGCTGTAGCTTTGCAGTACAGATAGACAAGGAGACCTTGGTTTCTGTGTAGTTTAAGGGTGTGTTCACACTTGTCGTCTGATTCTTTTGGTTTGTTTGCTTGGCGTTCACACTAACCCCAACCTAAAAATACTAAATGAATAATAACCATTTTTTTCATGACATGAATTACTGAACATCCAAAACGATGCTTTGTTTTATTTGCATACGTCTCATGGTGTTTAAATCAGTTGAGACCTCATGAAGAGCTTATAATAACAGTATAAGAAGATAAAAACTGTGCCTGAAACATATTACACACAAATTAAGATCTGCTGCAGGCATTTCCGACTCTTTTATTGATCTTTAACAGGCAACATTGTGATTATAATGAGAAACAATTGGCATTTTTGAAAGTAGGGTTGGGTCTGATAGACGACCGATGGCCGATAGAGAACACGATGCTGATGCTGACTGCGTCTCACTATAATTGTTAAACGTGATATTTAGTTAATCTTGTCTGTATCCAACGACTCTTCGGTCTGTCAGGTAACGTGTCACAGCGTCAGTACACTGCTTCAATCTTTCGCTTTCACGCTTGTACTTAGTAATTTTAGTGAAAACCTCAGATACTGTTGGTTGCTTGTGCACCTTTTTTACCGACCAAGTTTGTCAATGCCATCAGAATGAAACAAATCACACTGCTCATTCATGCCAGAGTACCGTGAAAAAGCAATTGACAGGTGGTAATTTGTGTGTAACTTTACTTATTTATGATTTGTTTATGGGTTAAACAAAGACCATGCAGGTCAGGTGGTTAAAACGGTAGGCTACAAATAAATAATTCATTATGAATTAATTATTCATAAATAATGAATTCACCTATGCCTATGATGATGATGCCATCGTCCATCGCGGTGTTTCACATTAGACATCGTACGATGGCAAATTGGTTGTTATCACCCAACCCTACTTGAAAGTAGGGCTGGAGGATTAATCGAAGATGATTTTCATGCGCATGTTGTCAGTAAAACTTGCTCTCCTAAATCTCCAGCACGTGATTTCATATGTAGGAGTATTTACTACACAGAGTTGTTGTTCACTTACAAGCTACTCAAATAAATTGCGTTCAAAAGTTGATTTAATCTGAAAATAAGAAAATTGAGATAATCGTCTTGTGATAATGACGAATGTTTGTGTAGCTTCTCGGTTGAGTATGACTCTGTGTTGCAGCTACATCTGAAAACATGTGAAAATACCCCATTTAATAACTTGATTTTACTCCAAACTCACTTTATATCTTCAGTTGATTGCGGGGCTGCACAATATATCATTTCAGAGTTGATATCGCAACGTGAGCAATCGCAATAAGTCACATCGCAGGACATGGCATTGTAGGATTATAATTCATAATTTCCATGTGTTTTTGAGGCCTGACTGTATGAGAATGATAAAAGCATTCAGGCATAAAAAATTTTACCAATTTTAACCATAATAATGATTAACTTTATTGAATTATTCATACAACGAATACTATGCAGTATTATTTTACATTTTAATATTCAATTACTGTACCTGAATGAAAACAACACAAACAGTTTATTTCATTTGTATTTTTTTCTTTATTGTATTTTTCGATGCTTGTAGGTTTTATTCAGATGCACCTACAGAATCATCCCAATCAATCAACTAAAATGATCAATTCTTTCCAAATAGAGATATTAAGTCATCTGGTGAAATTGTATTTATGTCGCAATATATATCACCGAATAACAAAATATCGCAACTCACTTCGTGAGATTATTATCATGTGCTAATTAGTCTCATTGAACCACTGAAAGTAGTAGAATCTTCTGTTTTTCAGCAACTGCAATTTCCTGGGTTTCTTCTTTGTGGGTTTTTTTAGTTTTGCGTTAGAGCGCCCTCTGGCCTTTGAAGCAGATTTACTACAGAAAATTGTGCATTACTGGCAAGATGTGCATAGCAATCCCAGCTTTGCGATTTAATTTATGATTAATTGTTCAGCCCTATGTGTGCATTCTGTCCTTTTTATAGCCACACCTCCTGTTTGGTTTATTTCAATGTCTTGTTGGAAGTGAACTGTGAACCATCTCTTTCTCAGCAGGTCTCAATCTGCTTATTTGGTGCGCACCATGGTTTAGATCCTGTCCACACAAACATGGGTATTTTCAAAAACTTACTTTTTATTTTTTTTGCATAGTTTCGCTCTTTGCCTTCATGAAAATGGAATATTGGGTGACTGAAATTGACACAATCTGAGTTTTCCCCTTATGACGTCAGTGTGCAAACTGTTTTATCCTTTCTGCTCAGCCAACACTGTTGGGTTCACACTAAATGTGGAAGGAGCTAATTTCGCACGTTTGCAACAAACATATTGCATATTCCGCATTGTTTAATCGCTGGATGGTATTCCACCTTTGTTCTCATGTTTGCATTTGCTTGTATGCAATTTACTTGAAAAAATACTTAATTCTAGGGATGGCTAAAGTGAAACTGACATTTTGACACAGTGGCGAGATCCTGAAGAACAAGTGTTCCGAAACACTGTACCGAAGCATGATGCGAAACACAGATCACATGACTAAAGTGATTCGAAACACTCAGGTCACGTGACATAAGTGTTTCAAAACACCAGGTCAAGTGACTAAAGCTATTTAAAGCATCGGTCATTTCAGAAGCGTTTCGAGACATGTTGAATTTGCGTTTGACTGACATGGTCGAAAAAAAACTGCCTCATGTAGCCTAGTGAACTGCGCGTGTGCACAGAGGAACTGCGCTGCAAATGACCTGAGCTCAAATCCTGACTTGTACAAACACTCTTAAATTATGACTTGATGTATTTTAATGATGTAACTTTTCATGACTAAAACAAGACATATTTATCCATAAAGTGTTCATTCGGATCTCAGACCAATGTTAAAACAAAACACATTACAAAACAGAACATCTATAGCTGCATCAACCTGGATTCTAACCCTTTATCTCTGCATTGTTAGAACTCTCACTGCTCCACTAAATCACTTGAAACCTCGACTTTACAGCATGAAGTTTAATTCCTAAATTTGCTGAACTGTCTTTTACTAAACCTGTTCCAGAGCAATACCTAAAATGACCACTTGGTGTAGAGACGGGTTTCGAAACGTTTCGAAGCTTCGACACATTTGCTTCGACTCTCTTAATGTTTCATGAGGCCTCTCTTTGCCCACTACGTCTTAATTCCCTGTTTGGTGTGAACCCAGCATAAAACTCTCATCTCTCATCATCGCCCTCTGTTGGTTTGGCATAAACTTAACATGCTTCACAGTGCATTTTCATGTGGATAGATGTTTTTTTTTTTTTTTTTTTTAAAGCTGGGAAGACTCTGTTTATAAAAATACCCGTGTACATGTGGACATGTCCTTAGATGGCAGCATTCACTCTTATTCAAGTGAACGTCAATAACAGATTCAGGTTTTTATCAAACCAAACTTGCCAAGTGTGAACACACTATTACATCTGTAAATTAAAATTTGGTAACGATTTACTCCAAAATGAACTATTTTGCTGTTGTATTATCAATGTACGTATAAGAGCTGTTATAGATTATGTATTTGTTGTATTCTCTTCAACAACAGTAAAAATGCTGTATGCAGCACTTTGTTTTTGGATGTTTATGGATTTTTTTTTTGCTTTTTAGAATTCCTAAAAACAAAAGGTACCCTGCATCCCTTTTTTCAACTTGCATGGCGCATTTTGTTGGAAAAAGTAAATGAACCATCAGACATAACGGTTGGTAGTATGTCTATTTCCAGTTCCTGATAACAAAAAGTGCTCCAATTAGTCCAAATGCTTGGTTTCCTTCACCTCAGTCTTCCGTTCAATCTTCAAGCATCCTTTGATGAACACAGATGTTGGACATTGCAAGACCTCCAGCTCATTTGCACCAGATTTCTGAGATTGTTGATGCCTTCCTGTCCTGAAGTGACTGGACAACTATTAACCCCTTCGTACACAGGTCATTATCTGATGGATTTGTGTACTTTTTCCCAACAAAAGCAGAAGAGTCTTAAAATTATTCACAATTTAATTTATTTTTATCGTTCATTCTGACTTTGTAAACTAATCCAAGACTGCAGACATTCAGACAAACTTTCAGCACTTCCTATAAAACAATCTTAAGGCCAAATCACAGACTAATCTTAATAAGTCACTTCTCACACATATCATGACCTGACTAAAGTCGATATTGGTCAATAATGCCAACAAAACCTTACACAGTGTCTGTTGCAACTGGTAACCACCTGTTAATGCAATGTGAATTGGCTCTTAAGTGAACACTTTCTTTGTTTCAGACTTCATATTTCAAGTGTTATCATAATAAACAAGCAGACCACACACTTAAGATAGCATACGTAAACTAAAAATCAACTGTGATTTAATTTAAAGGCATATTTTAATGCAAGGCAGTGAGTCTTAACCACGAAACATGAATAAGAATGTTACATTATCAATAAATGCGCCCAAATTTATGTTAAAATGTGCCACACAGAACTGCAGTTTACTAACTTGTTGTTTTGTATGTTTTACTGTAGATTGGCCAAAGGTTTGCAGAACATTCTTCAACTGAACAGGGAAATTCACAACCCATAAACAAGCAGAGAACATTCAGTGTAAGCATGAATTTAAATTCATTTGTAAGCTGTTAAATGATTGTCAAATTACCAATTACTTGTGTGTTTCTTATACAGGTGGTGGCCAGAGAGGTCCTGACTCAGTTTCAGGTGTGGCAGAAGGCCTCCTATAGCAGGAACATTGATTGGAGCCCGATTACAGCAAAGGTTTGGACTTCTTCTTTTTAAAATATACGAATAAAGGCTTGCTTGCAGAGAGTAATTTGGCATGTATTTGTTTCTTCTTTCTTGCAAAGATTATATCTAAACTGCCGCAGTTTTATGGCCGGGAGGCAGAGCTGATTGTACGATGTACTAAGATGCTACACAACCGCAGGGATTACCTTCGAAGAAGAGCAAAGGTTAGATGATTAATCACATCATTTGAAATCTACTTTTTGACAATGTTTAACATAACAGAACTAGATTAAAGCAGGGTATCTTCAGGGTCTTAAAAAGCCTTAACATGTCTTAAATTTAAAAAAAAAAAATTGGCTTTAAAAGGTTTTAAATCCACTGAAATATTGTGTAGTAGGTCTTACATTTTTTTAAACGGGTATTAATTTTCCTTTGTCCATATAAAGCTATATCCAACACCCATCCAATCACTAACAATATATTTCAAAAGCATTTTTAAGAAATGTTTATTTATTAACTCTATTTACTTATTAATATAGTTTAATTATCTTCCTTACAATAACAATAGTTTTTTAAAATGTTTTTTTAAGGCTTTAACTTAAAATTTTTAGCATTTAGCCTTGTGTAAGTCTGAAATTTAATTCATTCTTAAAAAGTCTTAAATTTGACTTGATGAAACCTGTAGAAACCAATGACTGTAAAAAATATGGACGACGCGACAGCCCTTTTTCCCATTGAACGCCTTGAGGGCAAAACGCCTGCTTGACGGGCACAAACTGTCGCAAAAGACTGCTGAAATTGGAGCCAGACATGCGCAGAAGGATTTTCTGATGGAGCCAGAGGAGGAGCCGCGAAAATGAGCTGAGTCGAGCTTCCAATCAAACGCTTTATGTAAAATCAACTACGCCCCCCAAACTTCTCAGCATGCGTTTGCTGTCATATCAACACAAATGGATGTAATAACGTTAACAAATATGAGGGTTTTATATATTCAATCGCGCCAGCTCCAGGCCGCAGCGCATAACTTACTCGCGGCGTCGCGGGCTGATTCCGGCTCGCATGCGGCAGCGCCTGCTCGCTCGGCCGCCGCATCTGGCTCGATTGACTCGGGCTGGAATTGGGTAGTGAGTCCAGGCATCCGGAGTAGCTCCAGCAGAGGTAACATTAGTCAGTCTGAGCTCTAAGAGATAAGTCTCCGGCAGGCGAGAATCTAGCCGGAACTGTGTTTTGCTATCTGGGTGGCTAGGCGTGTATCAGCAAACTAATAAAGCCCGAAAAAAGCCCTGAACTTAGCGAATAAACAGTGTTCCACCAGGATCATGTATGTCAGAAACTATAGTTTACTTCTGAACTCATTTTGTCATCGTAAAATAACACAGAAATCGAATAATAACATTTCAGTCTACTTCAGTCTCCTGCCGAAGCTCAGACGCCGCGCTTTGAGAAACTGTCAATCACAGCTGTCAATCATGATGACACGCCCAGCATTAAATTACTGCTAAAAACAAACTGTTTACAAAAATAAAGATCTGCACCTATTTCAGCACAATAACCAGTGCCTTAATCCACCAGAACTATCTTTCGGGAGATTTTATTGCAAGTGTAATATTTTTTTTATTTGGGCTCAAGTCTCCTTCATTAACACGGAGGAGGCGGGCTTTATGACTTGTACTGCAGCCAGCCCCCAGGGGGCGATCTAACGGCCGAAACCTTCACTCAAACGTAGGCTTGCGGCACACTTGGTAGAAACCCTGTAAACCCTGTAACCATCATTTATTTTACTCGTCCTCCACTTGTAGAGTTTCTTTCATCTGTTGAACACAAAGGAAGACAAACAAAAAATGACTACATAAAGTATTTAGGCAACGTTTTTAATACACATAGGCAAATCCATATTATTATTTGTCCGTATGGCATACTCTTGGCAAATGCAAAAGTCTACAGAGCTGTTAGGTTGCAATCTGTGACGCTAATTGAACCAGATAACTGTTCAATCCTTAAAATTGTAGGGAATTTCATGTGTTTACCATAAAGTAATCAATTTACATAAGTTGCTTGTCATTTTGTATTTTGCTTGTATTAATCACATGGAAAGGAAAAAAATGGCCATCAAAACCGAAACTCTTTAGTTTAAACCTGAATTTAAAGGCTGTCTCTCTCTAGTAGTGATATTAAAAATGAGTTTTAAGACCTCACACAGCACTTCATACTCACAGTATTAAAAAAAAGCAGATACATACAGTTTTTATAAATCCTTCAAAGTTGTAATAGAAGTTGTGGTGTTGGAAAATACTTCATGTAATTGGTTAGATCCACTAATTCCTACATCATATATATTACCATTCAAAAGTTGGAGTTGGTAAGATAAAATGAAGAGCGATTGCACAGAATATTAAGCACCAAAATGTTCTCAACTTTGATCATTTAAGGATTAATATGATTGTGCATCATATAATCATCTTAGAATGATTTCTGAAGGACCGTGTGACTCTGAAGTATAATGTTGCTGAACATTCAGCTTTGACATCACAGACAAAAAAGACCATTTACAATGCATTGAAACGGAAACCATTAGTTTCAATTGCAATATTTCACAATATTACTGTTTCTGTTGCATTTTTGATCAAATAAATCCAGTCTCGGGTACTATAGGCATTATAAGTGACGTCTACAGACATAGAAAAGCCTTTCAACTACAAACAGTTGCATACTTTCAATCAAGACAGATGGTTTCTCTCTCAATTAAAACAAAGGGTGCTTGATCAACGCTTCAACATGCTGGAATTTGTTTTAAAGTCAATAGGGCCATTAAGGAGTCCAGTCATTGGGCCTTTTAACACCCGATTCTTTCATATGTAAAGCAACTGACTGAAAATCTGCTGTTGTGAAACTGGTTTTACTTATAAGTCAGACATAGTGGGCAAAATAAGCTACTTCAAAGTTTAAATTTAACAACTTTATTAATCCCACCACTGGCAATTAGATTAGGGTAGTAGCATTTCATGATACAACAAACACATTAAAAAAAACAAATCACTCACAAAAAAGTATTAAAAAACACAATCTAGCATGCTTCATAATAACTTCATAAATAGTACTGAAAACATAGGAAAGACCCATATATTAAACATTTTAAACTTGCTAAAATGTAATGTTGTAAAGCTTTATTACCTCAGGAACAAAGGTGAATTTATATTTGTTAGAAGAGCATCTGATGCTTCTAAACCTTCTTCCAGAGGGCAAGAGAACAAAAAAAGGCTTCAGAGGATGGGAATCATCTCCTATCACACTTTAAAAAAATAAAAATAATGACTAATGTTTTGCTTCTTACACTTTCTTTACATACCTGAAACTTGCCTACAGAACTTATTCATTGTTGCTCTTATAGTTGTGTAAAATGCTTCCTTGTCCTCATTTGTAAGTCGCTTTGGATAAAAGCGTCTACTAAATGACTAAATGTAAATGTTTGAGGTTTTTTTAGCATTTGCGGTTTATGTGACTCTGCTAGACTGCGCAGAGAGAAACAAATAATCTTGGCGCAAGTCTTGATTAAGTTTTGAATCGCAACGAAAAGTGAGGAGAACCAGCATAAAAGGAAAAGCTTGATATACTCTCAATATAGGTTGTATAAAAAGTTCTCAGTATATGTTTTTTATCTACACAGAAGGAGTTCAGTTTCCTAAGAACAAACAATCTCTGATACACTTTTTTAGCAACAGTTTCTGAGTTCTGCTAGAACTTTAATCTGGTATCAAAGATTGTACCAAGGTACTTATATTCCTGTACCCTTTTCAACTTGTTTTCCAAAATACACCGGTTTCACCTCTGAGGTTTTTCTAAAGTTAATTACCATCTCTTTCTTTTTTTGTGAAAGTTGTGTGAAATGTTCAGTTGTAGTTCAGCTGCTTTGCACCACTTAAAAAACTTATTATGATTATCGCTGTCTGTATTTGTTAACAAGGATAAAAAACTGTCACCAGCATATTTGACTATTTGGCAATTGTCCTTAGTGCTGCGATATGAAGTTTTCGATCATATTTCTTTCAGATAAAAAGGTCCATCTTTTACTCTTGTCATGTTACTTTATCTTTTGCCCACACTGTGCTGTTGATTACTATATAGCGTATTAAAAGCATTATTGGCTGTATTAGGTTTATTGCTGTATTTCATATTGAGAGTTGAAAAGGTTAAACTTGTGAATCATTATTTGAAATGTTCTGTTTTTTGCTGCAGGAATCTGCTTTGGAGCGAAATCTTTTACCTATGGGCCAGAGATATCTTATACAGCTTCAAAGAGGTGATGTTCAAAATGTGAAGTTGTGAATAAAATTTAGTTCTGTGTAACATTGTTTCATGTGTGCAGTTTATTTTCTCTCATCAATACACACTCAAACATATTTTGTTAACTAAACTATCTAACCTAAAATATAAACTATATTTTGGAAGCTAAACTATCACAAGAATGGAGCCATTAAAGGGATAGTTCACGCAAAAATAAAAATGTTCTTTCTCAGAGAAAGAAAGGTCCCTGGTTCGAGCCCCGGCTGGGTCTGTTGACATTTCTGTGTGGAGTTTGAATGTTCTTCCCATGTTCGTGGGGTGCAGTCCAAAGACAAGCGCTATAGGTGAAATGAGTTTGCTAAATTGGTCATGTGTGTGTCTGAGTGCAAGAGTGTGGGTGTTTTCCAGTGCTGGGTTGTGGCTGGAAGGGCATCCGCTGTGTAAAACATATGCTGGATAAGTTGGCAGTTCGTTCCGCTGTGGTGGCCCCTGATTAATAAAGGGTCTAATCTAAAAAGAAAATGAATGAATAAGTCGATGATTAAGGGCTTCCCTTCTAGCTTTCTTTGAAATATCTTCATTTGTGTTCAGAAGAAAGTTAAACAGATTTGGAACAAGTAAGGGGGAGTAAATGACTACAGAATTTTCAGTTAGGTTGAACTATCCCTTTAATTTGCATAAAAAGTCCTCCAGGCACGTGCACACATTGGGCTGAACCTGTGCAGTGCACATGCCCTTTTTAGTCTTGGTTAGAAAGTGCCCTTCCAAAATGACTTACAGTACTATGAGTTTCTTCTGTTTTTTACAAAAGAAGACATTTTGGAAAATGCTGGAAACCTGTAACTATTGACTTCCATTGTATTTGTTTTCCTACTATGGACATCAGTGGTTACAGGTTCTCAGATTTCTTTAAAGTATCTTCTTTAGTGTTCAACAGAAGAAGAAAAAAACTCATAGGTTTGGAAGCACTTGAGTAAATAGTTTAGGGAGAACTCTCTCTTTAATTGAGTAAGGAGTCATTTAGAAAAGTCACAGAAATGATTATCAGAGCTTCAGTTTGATTCACATGGTTTTATTGAATTATTAACAACATATAAAAGCAATTCATTACAAAACAATTATGAACACTTAATTATAAAACAATCCCTTTCCCTTGTGACAGAACACCAGATTCATTGATGAGGTAGAAAATAGTTGAGCAGATCTTTGATGACACTTTAGAGGAGAAAACTGTGACAGCACTGGACTTCCTAATGGAGTTTTAGCATTAATTCAGTTCAATTCATCTTCATTTCTACAGCGCTTTTACAATGTGGATCGTGTCAAAGCAGCTTAACATAGAAGTAAATTGAAACTGTGTCAGTCCAGTTTTCAGAGTTGAAGTTCAGTTCAGTTCAGATCAGTGTGGTTTAATTGTCACCGCTGAAAGTCCAAACACTAAAGAGCAAATCCATCGATGCGCAGCTCCACAAGTCCCAAACCAAGCAAGCCAGCGGCGACAGTGGCGAGGAACAAAACTTCACCAATTGACTAAAGTGAAGGAAAAAAACCTCGAGAGAAACCAGGCTCAGTTGGGCACGACCATTTCTCCTCTGGCCAAACGTCTTGTGCAGAGCTGCAGTCCAGGCACCATTAATTACCATTATTGTCATTAATTACTCGCCTCATGTCCTTAGTTCAAATTCATGTTTACTTCATATTGAAAACACAAATAAAAACTTTTTCGATGAAATCTGAGAGCTCTCTGACCCTCAAACCGCACGTTCATAAGAGCACAGTGCACTGTACAGTATGTGTGTAGCACTGCTGACGTTTAACCCAGAGGCCTGCGCGACTTCCTCTCATTTAAACAAAGCGTGGGCACATCCGAGGAAAACATCAGCAGTGCGACACACATACAGCGCAGGACAGAGCTCTCATGGTTTGATGAAGTTTTCTGGGATTTAAACATTTCTTCATTCTTGTGGTTTATGGAGGATCAGAGAGTTCTCGCAGTTCATCTCAAATATTTTCACTTTTTTTCTGAAGATGAAGAAAGGTGTCAGGGGTTTGGAGCTACAGCTGTCATTTTTAAGTGAAACTTCTTTCATGCAGAAAGAAAACACAAAAATAATAAAACAGAAATACGACTTCAGAAGTTCTGTCCTGCACTGTATGTGTGTCACACTGCTGATGTTTAACCCAGAGGCCTGCGCGACTTCCTCTCATTTAAACAAAGCGTGGGCACATCTGAGGTAAACGTCAGCAGTGCGACACACATACAGTGCAGGACAGAGCTCTCTTTAACACACGTCATGAACTGACACTGAAGAAAAGTAAGGTCTTAGGGGTTTGGAATGACATGAGGGAGTAATTAATAACTTTAACAGTCTTGTGAATGTCTGGAAATGGTGCTCTCCTCCTCCTCACTTCTTTAGTTTTTTCTAAAAATTAAGAAAAACAATCAGAAATAAGACAAAGTTGTTTAAACAGTAATATGAAAGGCTGTCAAATAAAACTCTGTGTGTTCCTCTACCTCCTCTTGTATAACTGCTTCACAGGATTTGGGGTCGTTGGATTGAACCAGCAGTGCTCTTCTACCTGGTGTAACTGTAGCCGTTTAGCTGGATTACGGATCAAACACTGGGAAATCAGGTCCACGCATGCTGAAAAGTGTCACAGAGAGTGTGAAATATGTCTGCATACTCAACATTTATGAACGTCTTTAAATCTTACAACATCAAATGTTACAAAACATCCACAATTAAGTGACTTTAATATCTACAGGTCCTGTAAGCATTATATTTAATCCATTTGACTTATGACTGACATGTTTGATTCTGTCACTGAGGCTGAGATTGTTTAGAGCTGTCTGCTTACCTGTGGATAACCTGGGGTGTATCTGAATTGCGCCAAACATTATTGACTGTCTGTTATTGAAGGCCAGTCGTCCATGCATTATTTCATACAGCATAATGCCTATTGTCCAGACGTATGCCGGGTTAGCATGGAATACACGACACCTCAAAGCCTCAGGTGGCATGCCATGTCCAGCTCCTGTAAGAGAGACATTTCCAGAATTCAGTCATTTCATGAGACAATACTGTGAGCAAAGAAACTAATACAAAATGCCAACTCACCTCGATAGTCACTTTTGTTGAAAGGCTTTTGGGTAATTGGCTGAGCACATCCAAAGTCGATCAATTTGAGCTCTAATCGGGGTAGAGTCACCAGGATGTTCGCTGTGTGTATATCCCCATGGAAAACTCCACGCTCAGTGCAGAACATTATAGCTCGGATCAACTGACGCATTAACTGGCGTGCTTGGTTTTCCTCAATGTCCGCTGTGTCTTTGATGTACTGAAGCAAGGTCTGGCATGACCCTGCGTACTCCAGAATGAGAACAAAGTTGTCCTCAATCTCAAGCCAGTTGTGTAATCTGATGATGTTTGGACATCGGGGAGCTTTCATCAACCTAAGCATCATTGCCACTTCTGCAAGCACAGGTGTGGAATGACCATCCTAGAAAGAAAACAGATTTCAAAGACATTAACAAAGCAGAATGGCACAAAGTACAGTAACACATACTTTACTATGTGAATAATCACTAAGCTTCATGTTCTGACACATTTTTGCTTGCATTTGAGCATTCAGTCATGCAGTTTAAGCTAAAAGAGGACTCTACATGTGTGTGTTCTGTCCGTCTCTGAGGCTGAGCAGATGCACACAACAGCACAAGAGCTCTTTAGCACTTCTGAATGACTCGTATACACTCGAATAAATCAAGCACATCCCATGCTGCAAAAGTCCCGCTACTTGATTTCCCTGATTTCCAGCTTTGTGTAGAAATGAATGCAGACTGCTTTACTAGGGGCCGGGATATGAATCAATGATCATTTTAACCTCCATTAATGTTAAATTAATTTTAATTAAATCTACAGCCCGACATTCATCTGTTCAAAACTTGTCTCTGGGTTTATTTCTTCTGCTGAACACAAAAGAAGATATTTTGAAGAATGTTGAAAACCAGTAAGCATTGACCTCAAAAGTATTTTCTTTTCCTACAATAGAAGTCAATGGCTACCTGTTTCCAACATATCTGCTTTTGAGTTCAGTTTAATGTGGTCCAGACAGGTACGGGAGAAGTGAAGGATGAGTAAACGCTCAGCACATTTTCACTGTTGTGTGAATTAATCAACTTACAACGTCCAGATAACGGTCCTGTTGACTCTTCACCATGCACTTCAGGGCAACCTGCGGAAAAACAACAACAAATTAAATTAAAGCCAACAAATTATTTATATTTATTAATCAGGAGGAAAATGTTGACTGAATTTTAAAAAAAGTAGTTCTCTACCTTTACTCTTTTACTGCGTTTGTGAGATGCCACATACACCTGGCCAAAAGCTCCTTCTCCAATCATGTCTCCGACTTCAAACTGAGTCAGATCGAGTCCTGAAAAACAGAAAAAAGCAAGGAGATTTACTTGGATTGTCTGGTATGAAGCGGATCAAATATATGACTCCTGTCCTTTAAATCAGGACCTAATGAAATGATCTAAAAGCAGTAACTTCTATCAGAAATGCAGGAGTAAATTGATTAATAATCTATATTAATTATAAATTACAGAATGATGACTTACCAGGAGTGAGCCCAGAAGCCTCCTCAGGACCCTGGCCTGGCAGACATACTGACTCAAGGTCTGGCTCTGACTCTGGCTCAGGCTGTGGCGTAAAATGCAGGAAAGGGAGCTTTGCAGCCTTCCATGCTCTCTTAAAGAAAGCAGAGACTCTTTTCCCTTTCCTTCCTTTCTTGGGGTTTTCTAAAATGAAGAAAACAAACAGAAACATCTTCATGAACAAAGCTGCAGCTACAGTGCTCATAACATTCATATATGCCAGGGGTGGCCAACCCTGTTCCTGGAGAGCCACCTTCCTGCAGATTTCAGTTGCTCCCCATATTAAACACACCTGAACCAATTAATTAGGACCTGAACACCTCGTGATAATTACAGGCAGGTGTGTTTGGTGGCTCTCCAGGAACAGGGTTGGTCACCCCTGATATATGCTGTACATTTATCCATTTCTCA